CCATCACTAAATTTCAGCTGTTTACTAAATTTTAGTTCTTGGGATTGAGGGGGAGAGGAAGTAACTTCTATTTTAGATTTTCTTTTACTTTCTTGGTTACTACATACAAATTATGCAGGTATGAGAAAATATAATTTTATATTCAATGAAAAAAATTATTCTGCCAGGCCACAAAGTAAACAAAACATTAAATTGAAATGTTCCTAATGTTTATGTTATATCAAAAGTAAAGAAAAAAAAATGACACAATCTATTACAATATATCAAGAGAAGGATCTAATACACCAAAAAAAAAAAAAAAAAATTCACCTAACTGAAAAAAAAAACACAAATATGTAGAGGCTAAGCAAAACAATCAAAGGCTTAACTTAAAAATCAAGGAAAAAAATATATTGAGAGAAATGAAAACACAACAATCCAAAATCTTTAGGACACACAAAAGCAGTTCTAAGGAAATTTATAGGGATAAAGGCCTACTTAGAGAAATAAAAATCTCAAATAAACAATCTAAACTTACAACACAAGCAACTAGAAAAAGAGGAACAATGCCCAAAGTGAGAAGAGAGGAAATATTAGAGTTAAGAGCAGCATTAAATAAAATAGCTACCAAAAAAAAAAAAAAGAAAGAAGAGAAAAGATCAACAAAACTAAGGTTCTTTGAAAAGATAAATGAAATAGATAAATTTTCAGTCAAACTCATGAAGAAAAAAGAGAGGGCCCAAATAAATAAAAGAGAAATGATAGAGAAGTGACAACCAAGACCATAGAAATACAAAGGATTGTGAAAAACTACTATGAACAATTATATGCCATATTACTGGATAATCTAGAAGAATAAATTCCTAGAATAATACAATCTTCCAGTACAGAATTAGGAATTAAAAAAAAATTGAACAGACTGATTACTATTAACAAAATGTAATTGATAATAAAAAAAACCTCCCAACAAACAGAAGTCTAGGACCAGACAGCTTTATAGGTGAATTTGATCAAATATTCAGAGAAAATTTAATTTCTATCCTTGTCAAACTACATCAAAAAACCAAAGAGGAAAGAATTCTTCCAAACTCATTCTACAAGGCCAGTATTAACCCTATAAAAAAACGAGACAAAGATACTACAAAGAAGAAAATTACAGGCTAATATCCCTGATGAACACAGCTGCAAAAATCCTTAATGCAATATTAACAAAACGAATTCAGTAAAACATTAAAAAGATCATATACCATAATCAAGTGGGATTTATTCTAGTGATGCAAGGATGGTTCAATATCTACAAATCAATCAACATGATGTACTGCATAAACAAAATAAGGATAAAAATCATAAATCATCTCAATAGATGTAAAAAAAGCATTTGACAAAACTTAACATCTATTTATGATAAAAACTCTTAACAAAGTAGGCACTGAAGAAACATACCTCAGCACGGTAAAGGCCATGTATGACAAACCCACAACATTGTATTCAATGGTGAAAAGCTAAAAGCTTTTTCTCAAAGATCATGAATAAGACAAGAATGTCCACTTTCACCACTCTTATTCAAGAGAGTATTGGAAGTCCTAGCTATTGCATTCAAACAAGTAAAGAAATAAAAGGTAACCAAACTGGAAAGGAAGAAGCAAATTGTCAATATTTGCAGATGACATGATATTATATATAGAAAGAACTAAAGATTCCACCAAGAAACTATTATAATAAATGAATTCAGTAAATTTGCAGATTAAAATTCAGAAAACTGCATTTCTGTACACAAATGACAAATTAGCAGAAAGAGAAATTAAGGGGAAAAAATCCCATTTACAAAAAGAATAATTCTATCCATCAAAAAGAATCAAGGAATAAATTTAACCAAGGAGGTAAAAGACCAGTACTCTATAAGTAAACTATAAGACATTGATGAAAGAAATTGAAGAAGACACAGATAAACTGAAGGATATACTGTGCTCATAAATTGGAAGAATTAACATAGTTAAAATGTCCATACTACCCAAAGCAATCTATAGATTACATGCAATATCTATCAAAACAGCAGTGGCATTTTTCACAGAATTGGAACAAATAATGCTAAAATTTATATGGAACCAAAAATGAGCCCAATTAGCCAAAGAAATCTTAAGAAGAACAAAGTTGGCAGTATCACACTCCCTAACTTCAATAAAAGAAAACAGAAATAAACTCATAGATACAGAGAACAAATATAGATCATTGCCAGAGATGGGTGGCATGTTGGGCAGAAAAGAGGAAGGGAATTATAAAGTACTAACCCCCAGCTATAAAATAGGTCATGGGGATGTAATATACAGCATAAAGAATAAAGTCAATAATATTGTAATAACTACATATTGGCAACAGATGGTTATTAGACTTATTGTGGTAATCACTTTGTAAGGTATGTAAGTGTTGATTCATTATGTTGTATACCTAAACTAATATATTATGTGTCAACTATAATTAAAAATAAATTTAAAATATCCATCTAAAAGAAAGAATCAAAAACTAAAATCTATATTCCAAAAATTTTCAGACTTCTAGGAGAAAAATCACATTGGAGATGGTCACATTCATATATTAAATTAATAGATTAATTTTTGGCTGTTTTTATTTTGCTTTTTGTTTTTTATTCATGGTATAATTAAATACCCCCATCCCCACATTTAAGAAGGAAAATTATAAAGAACATTTCAAATAGGCTATTTCATGCTTATAAGCCAAATAAAAGATCATCTTTTTTCTCTTCACTCCAGGCCCCAAGTCATAGTTGGTATTTTTCTATTTGACCTCCAGAAAATACTCTCTCAACTCTGTGTTTGAGTATTTGGTCAATTCACTGCAAGAGAAACTAAAACAACAATTGATTTCTAATATATATTAATATGAACAAGAAGACAATCTCTCATCTTCCTATCAAAATCATAAGCTTTTAGGGCATCCTACACAGATTTACAAATAACAGTCTTTGCAATCTTCAAACCTATGTTCTACACTATGCAACTCAAATTAGTACTGTCTCAAGTATGTAACACAGACCTACACATCAAAAGATTAATTTTCCCCAAAGAAAAATCACATTTATCAATATTTCTGGTTTTGCTGATTCCTTAATTTCTTGCCTTCTTATAGTTCTAACTTTCTCTAGCCTAAACACATAATCTAATGAAGGCCTGTATAAATCAGTGCATAACATAGAGTTAACAGATACTTCATATCTGGGCTAATCTATACCATCTATTCAATCTACAACTTCCTCACATGGAAAATAAAAAAAAAGCAAACTCTATCTTAGAAGATTATTTTGCATACTAAATGATTTAATATGTAGTAAGCCCTCCGCATTGCACCTGGGAGAAAGTAAACCTCCAAATGTGATACAATTATGAGGATAATGTTGAAGTCGGAAAGAGGACAGACAGGAGCTATTTTCCCTAACCATTCCTTAAGAATTTATCGTCCAAATTAAAGTCTGTCCAAGTCTTGCTCACATGTTGAAGATATTTACAAGATTTCAAGACTATAAAGTCAACCAAATTCAGGATAGATACCTACTGGACAAATAAAGTCCAATTTGGAGTGTTAGGTTATTTCTCAACAGTACTATTAGAAGGAAATTGGTAAAGGAGTAAAATTATTTTCATGAGGTAGGATGTGACATCATTAAAAGTGTTCACCCCCACCCTCTACCAACTGTGTAGTGTGTCTAGTTGCCTGACTTATTTTTTTTCTAATTACAACTGACATTCAGTATTATTTTATACTAGTTTTAGGTGAACAGCACAGTGGTTAGACTTTTAAATAACTTAAAATGTTATCCCCCCGATAAGTCTAGTACCCACCTGGCACCATACGTAGTTATCACAATACTACTGACTATATTTTTCTATGCTGTACTTTACATCCCCGTGACTACTTTTAACTGCTAATTTGTATTTCTTAATCCCCTCACCCCTTTCACCTAAATGTTCTAAGCCTCTACCTTCTGGCAACCATCAGTTTACTCTCTGTATCTATGAGTTTGTTTCTGTTTTGTTTATTTTTTAGATTCCACATAAAATGAAAACACACAGCATTTGTCTTTCTCTATATTATTTCAGTTAGCATAACAGCCCCTAGGTTCATCCATATTGTTGCAAAGGGCAAGATTTAATTCCTTTTTATAACAAAGTAATCTGCCATCATATATATGTACCATATCTTCCTTATCCAATCATCCATCAATGGACACTCAGGTTGCTTCCAAATCTCATTATTGTATATGCAGTGTCCTTTAGAGAGACAATTATTAATAGTAGGTTTAAAATAGATGACCATGCCCACTCCACCTCTTCCCCTACTGCAGATGGAGACCACCCAGGAAGAAACCATGAAAAAGAACATTGTCTCATAGGAGTGGGAACTTCTCTCAGTATGAAATATTATAAAGATCAAAAACTTTGTTAAGAAACAAAGAGTTTCAGTCACTTACTTGTAATAACAATTTTTGAACTGCACGTTGCAACTCATTAGAAAGGTCCTGAATCAATTTAATGAAACTAAAATTATGGTAAAAATAAAAGTGAATGCAGAGAATATCACACATACTAAGTTTAGTGTTGTTTATGAAATATTAATTTCAGCAGTGTTGTATGTATGTGCACATGTGTGAACGGCATGTGTGTGTTGGGAGATGATATATGATGTATTTCTTATTATGGGTGGCAGTCACAAAAGTCTGAAAACTACTGGCTTAGCTAAAGCAAGAAAAAGGTCTAATATAAAACACTCCAAGTCAGATCTTCAAGAATAAGTCTTCTATTTAACTATGAGAAGTTCTATGGGGAGGGGATCAGTAGACCTTATAAGAATGGACTCATATTTTGGAACAATTTTTAAGACCTATAAGACACCTAGAGGAAAACAAAGTCAGGAAAGCAGTAATGATCAACTTCATATATTTTAATGTAACAATACTCTTTAAGTGGCATATTTTTACCCACAGTCTCAGATGCCAGTGTAAGCCTTACCTAAAAGTCCCCCTTGGTAAGAAACACACTGATGTCTCCACAAAGAAACAGCAGATCTCTCCCGATTCTGCAGTCCATTTAGTCTTTCTGCTAGTCCACCTCTGTTTAATAAATTATAATGTATTAAGTTTAGTTAAAAGAAAAACTTCAGAATGTTGCCAACATTAATACTTTATACCCTCCAACCAGAGACAAATAGAGGAAATGGGCAAATTTTAACTTATTTGACATTACATTCTTTCCTAGAGGCCCAATCTTCCTAGGTCGGTAATTTATTTTTTAAAGATTTATTGGAAGCTCAGTTTTCTGATTCTTTAAAATATGGGCTATTCTCAGATCAATTTGACTTCCTTTCTATTCTTTCTTAGTTTGCTTATTCCATAAACATGTACTGATTACTTATTTCTTGTTCTACCTAGCAAAATGCTAGATGCCAGGGATACAAAAAAGGCAATAAACTCTGCCACTGCAGTGGTGGGGGCTCAAAATCTGGTGGCAGACAGTAGGCAAACAGTTAATTGTAAAGTGGGTTCAGAGTTAGTCTATAATAACACTTGCAAGCTGTTGATAAGTAGAACACTTCTATAAGAGGATTTAGGCATAAGCTCATTATATGGACCATGGATGGATGGACACAGACAGACACACACACGCTCTCACTCGCTCTCGCTCTCT